AAAATTGATACAAAACGAAAATATTATCCTAAAACCTGGAGCCATGTTCTTCAACAGTATTGTCAGATCGAAACTTTCATATGGAGACACGCCAAATGTAATAAAAGACTGTCTACATGGCACCAAATTAGAAATATCTAAACTGTCAGTTTTCTACAGCCACTTTCTAAAATCAGTGGTTCAAAATTCTTTTGAGTGGAGGCAACGTGTGGGTCTGAACGTGGAACATCCTTTTTCGAACTTCGTGGACTGGCGCCGCAGAATCTCAAAGAATTTTACCAAATAACAGAAACCGCATCACTTGCGGACTTTCAGCAACAGTAGAAGCAGCTAAAATGGATAGCACATGCAACTCGAAGAGAAAATAATGACATAATCAATAAGGTGAAATTCCACACTAATTCAAATAAAAGGTTAAGAAGGAAGCCTTCTTACACGCAAGCCTCTGGTAGTTCGCCGGCGGGACGCCAATAGCACCGCCAATGGTCCTCCGGTGGCAGCTATCGACATGCCATCGGCGAGCTTCTGGTAACATTGCCGCGCCGAACATGCCGGCGGTCCGAAAGTAGGCCACTAGCGGTAAACTCTAGTGGCATACCACCCAGTGGCAAATTGGTGTCTTGCATATAGGAACTGGAAAGAGCGATAATATTTATAGGACTTGAGAAACCTATTTTCCGAAAAAATTGTTTTAAGAGAAAGCTTTTATAAATTTCACTCGAAAGTAGCACTGGCTGCTCAGTCAAAGAATTCCGAATGTTTCCTTATAAGGAAAGGGCTAATATTACCATTACCACTAACAGCTATTAAGTCGTTTATAATTCCAGTCCAAAAAGACTGAGAGTTTTTATATAAAACTTATATTTGACATTCAAATAACACAACAACCTCTGATATGTCGGTATAATAACCCACAAATTTACGAAGCTTAGGCCAATTTTCCACAAGGTTACAGGTATGGGGCCCCGAGTGAGGGCCTAACACATTACGCAGGTGGCAATCGAAATAACTAAAATATTAGATATGCATCAAATATCATTTATAATGTTCAATAATAATTTATATATTCACCCGTATCGTTTCTTTTGCTGTTTTTCGCTGATTTCATTATTTAAACATTGGCACTTCACAATGTTCTGCGTCTGGAAAAGCGACATAAATGCCCCCGTTGCTACAGACTGATTACAGCAAGTATATTCCAGAATTGAGGATTTGGTTTAAGGCTCTATAGATAACCGCGGAAGAATAGAGAAACTTTTATTTCAACTAAATTATTAATGGATGCATGTATAGCTATATACGTTAGGAATCAACATATTGCAGGTGGGAATAAAGAGACAGAACACATTGATCTAAATAGTGGTGCGAAGACGCGAAATGGTAACGCTAATGTAAACGCATATCAGGAGAAAATATATCTATATTTAATCTACACCCTCTACAGATAGACATAGATTAAGAAGCCCACATAAAGCAAGTATATCAAACAGTCCGTAGACTAAAGAAAAATGTATTTATTTTGTACAAAAAATATTTGATTTCAATATGATGTTCTTCGTTGTCCATACGCAGAGCCAAACATCTCTCCACAAAGCACATACGTATATTGTTCCCGAGTATTCGAAGCACAATTAACAGCATAATTATCGATCTCCCAAAATATTCAATATCTAAAAGGCCACTAAACTGATTAAGTTTCCTTTCGCCGGGTGTCAGATAAGACGTTTAACCATCTTCCCAAATGAGCAATGGCGAGAGGTAAAAGATCATTCAGGCCTTCAGTAATTGCACCAACATTCATACTCTTGCTTCCATCTTCAAAAATTATTCAAGAATCAAGAGAACGGTAAATAAGTTTTAAAAAGAGGGGCAGTAAAGAGAAAAATTGACCCAGGAAGTCACAACAGGGAGAAGGTCATCATTTCAACTTAGAGCTAAAGAGATCAATTAGAAAAGATCCAACTCAATCCATAAGACGTTTGGCACCTGAGAGAGAAGTTTCAGCTATGACAGTCGAAAGAGCAGTGAAAAAAGACTTGAAAAAGAAATTGTACATGACACCTGTGAGGCACCTTGTTACTCCAGGACAGAAAATTAGAAGGTTAGAGGGGGCGAAAATCATCTTGAGTAAGTTAGGAAATGATTCAGGAATAATATATGTATATTTGAACTTAATTTCAATCATTCATGAGCTTCCGATCTTTAGTTATGATTAATTAATGATGAACATGTCATTTTCGTTTTATGATCGATTTCATCACTTGGAGAATAATTATACATTCTTATTGCTCAAAGTAGAGTCCAGTAGTGTTATAAAAACCTCAGAGAATCATAGTAAGTTACATTTAAGCATTTCTACGATACAACTGATCAAAGCTTACTCTAACAAATGGACATTTTTGCTTTTACACGATTTGGACAATTTTGCTATTTGATCAAATATTGGAAAGTGAGCCCTGTTGAAAAAACATTTAACTAAATTTTTATGTGATTAAAGAATGGCCGCCATAAAAAATAGGCATTCAGAGACATGAAATCGAAATATGACTTGATATTTACAGCTTATAAAAACTTTGTAGGTTATTTAAAGCCGAAACGTATCTCGGATTATAGGATAGTACTTATATTACCCGGCGTTCTCAAGTAGTCACTCATGTAAGTAATGATTGGGTTCGTCATATAAATACATTGTTTAATATTGTCTATATTTATGAGGGAATGTTTAATTTTGGAAATAGTGTGTTTATAGATACATATATCGCTTGAAGCGGGAAACCATGTAATGTTGATTCCTATGTTCACACTATACAGGATGTGATGGATGAATTGTCGTCTAAATTACGCTAAAATGAAAATAATACTGGCATCTCATTTTAACAGATATATTTACCAAAATTACACGTAAATATCTTGAAATACTAAAGAGTAATTTATTCAATTAAATCGCCACTGGCTTTAACCACGACCTCCTGATGATTTCAGAATCTCCTACAACTCTTCTACTAGCATATTTGAATATGACTGCCTTACCAGCTATTTTGAATAGGACAGCCTTACCAGCTCATTTGAATAGGACAGCCTTACCAGCTCATTTGAATACGACAGCGTTAATAGGTCATTTGAATAGGACAGCCTTAATAGCTCATTTGAATAGGACAGCCTTAATACGTCGTTTGAATAGGACAGCTTTACCACCTCATGTGGATACGACAGCCTTGCCAGCTCATTTGAATACGACAACCTTACCAGCACATTAATACATCATATCATTGTCATTATTACCAGCATAAAAAAGATCAAGAATAAACATTATATATATATGTGTGTGTGTGTGTGTGTGTGTGTGTGTGTGGTGCGATGGATAAATTGTCGTCCAAATTATACAAAAAAAAAAAAATGAAAATAACATTGACATCTCATTTTAACAGATATATTTACCAAAATTACACAAAAATATCTTGAAATAATAAAGATAAAATCTATTGAGTAAAATTGCCATTGGCTTCAAACACATCCTCCAGACGACTTCGGGATCTTCTGAAAATCTTCTCGGCGGACACCTTGCTTAAGTTGCTGAATGCTGCCATAATCCTTGTCTCTAGTGTTACAAGGAGTTTTGTTGTCTCTCCCTCAACTGCATCCAGCACATAATCATCAAGAGGGTTGCAGTCTCGGAAGTTAGGCGTCCAGATGATGTGATGTGGTCGTAGTAATTGTCTGACAGCCATGACTAGTTTCTCCTGCATGTGTGCGATGGTGCAGAGTACTGTTGCCAGACATAAAGTTGCCCCGCAACTACGATCATAATTTGGTGCAGCACTAACTTCTCAAGGCACATGATGTAGGCCTCCATGTTGTGACTGAGTCCCCGTGGGAAGATGAATGGAGAAATAATGTTGTCATCACTAGAAATCGTTCCAAACACCATGATGTTGTCTGGATATATCATCCTCTGCAGTGTACTCAGATTGTTACTCAAACGCTGTAAATTGTCTGTATTGGAGCTTCCGGCGCGAATGTCGAGCAGTACAGCAGGCCGTTTTCAGGCGGAGTGAATTGCGTCAATGTGCACTTTTCCTCACAGACGGTGCGCAACAGAGTCTACTATACTGTACAGTCGACAAAACCAAAAACAAAAGCGCGCATGCGCGAAATTAAAAAAAATAAAATTGCGACAGTTTAACCATCGCACCATATATATATATATATATATATATATATATATATATATATATATATATATATATATTATATTACCCTGAACAAGTTTTCGGGCACTTTAAACCGTTGTAATTTTTAATAATTGCAAACGTATAAGTGAATGTTTTGCATCACATATTCTACAGACGAAACATCCATACTATTGGAATAATGTTCATTTCTGATTATCATATGTTGTAGCTGGGGTTCGGAATGTCAAGGAACATGCGAGTAGACTGAGAAATATATATATATATATATATATATATATATATATATATATATATATATATATATATGAATTTGATTTTGAATACAGAAAAATTACATACTAATTATCCATTGGTAGTGGGGGACCACACACACACACACACACACACACACATATATATATATATATATATATATATATATATATATATATATATATGGCTTATGTAAGCCGAAACTTTAGATAGGATTAAAAAGCATGTATCAATATGGTGATTTTCTTTGGTCTTTTAATGATAATGTTATTAAGCTTATCAGGCGATATGAAAAGAATTTACATAAAATAAATAGACAAAATGTGTCTATATTATTTAATGAAACATGCATCAATGAAAAAATTATGCCTAAATACACACACAATATATATATATATATATATATATATATATATATTACAAATAAATAAAATTCAATAATAGCCCATATGAATAGCCATTTCGCTCCATTGGAAAAAATTCCTTCAGAAGTTTGTCAACATTAAAATGTTAGATAAAATAAAATAAATATGACGCCTAACTTTTATTAAAAACATTAAATAAAAGATTTTTAAGAAGAAAGGGATGAAAAGACGACATATCAGGGAAAAGGGATCTAAAAAGGGAGGGAAGAGAAAGACAGAGAGAAAAAAAGAAAAAGATAACAAAGTAGAGACGAGTAGAGAAAGAATGAGAGGAATAATAAGAGGAATAATGATTTGTCTCGAGTTTAGACTCTGGACGAAATTTAAAGATGGTTGGAAATTTAACATCAGAAAAATTAAACTAGACCTGTATTTCAAATGTTAACACTTGTTCAAACAGGAAAAATTACATAAGGAATTACAATGTAACCTTTTTAAGAAATGCATATCACTCGATAAGACTTTTCCATGTTAACTTTTATTTTTATCTTCGATATCTAAATAAATATTAGAGGTAATTAATTTTTTTAAAATCCGTAATTATTTCTTATTGCTAAAATAAAGTTTATAGAAATAAGAAATAAAATCAGGTTTCAAAAATCTATTAATTGCTTTTTTGATTGATTCATTATTTTTTTTATTTTATTTTTTACTGCTTACCAACATTTTTTAGGTTATTTAAAGCTGAAACATATGTTTGTGAATTGTAAGATTAATTCTACTTTTCTATTTGCTAGTGAATATTATATTAGCAGTTCTTTGGATATAATGATATTTTCAAATACACGTTTTACTATTTAACCCATAGCTGGGGTAGAAGATGTGGACTAATACCTTTCCCAATGGTAACTGCGCGTAAGTGAATATATAACGTATTCGACTGGAATTCGAAGTTGTCTCTCCGATTTCTCATTCTGAGCCATTATCCAATACAACACCCGCATATCCAAGATTACTACACGTAATATTCCCAAGCAGTCATCATCCAGTTACTGACCAGACTCGACCTTGCTTAACTCATTAATTCCTTAAACATTCGTATATATCTATGTTTGTGCTGTTGTGTGTCTGTATGTCCACTCGAAGCCATGAATGTACATTATAGTTGGTTGTCTATCCGTGTGAGTCTGTCTGTACAAATAATCCCTAAATCTGTGACATCAAATAAATGGGATTTTCGATATGACATATGAATGAGATTAAAGTGGGAATCCCAGGGGTACATGGGAAAAATAACGAAAAACGTTCAGCTCTTTCTCTCTCGGCACTATCCCAATGAGATAGCACAATTATTTGGAACTGACCCTGATCCTTTCTCTTTTAGACCAATGGGAGAAGTACTTCCTGTGTGAAATTGGCATGATTCTCTGGAGTTGAATCTAGCAAACTTGCAGGATAAATGGGGATTTATCATCTGCATCTACAAGATTTTGATTTATATCTTGGACAACTAAGCTGTTCTAGCCGAAAAGAGAAAATATCCAACATTAGATTCAATTTTAAAAGTAAATAGTTTTTAATTCACTTCCAGTCTAGGCTTTTGTGGTGTTTACATATAAGCGATTGCATTTTTATTTTTTTTGCTTTATAATTTAAAAAAAAAAAAAAAGTTTTCTATTCTGAAAGTGTTAACGACCTCAGTATTTAAATCCAACTTGAATTGAGTGATTGATTTGTTTTTACGGCCTATCGACCCTTTGAAGGTTATTTAAAGCCAGAAAATTTTTTTTAGATTGTAAGAGTTTTTGGACATAATAATGATTTACTGATACAAGTTCTACTAATTAACCCATAGATGGAGGAGAATTGGTGGATTCATAACTTTCCCAAGAGTGAATATAGCGGACACGACTGGAATTTGATCTCGGTTCTCTGTTTTTCAATTCCATGCCATTATTTTTTAAACCATTCGCACATCCAAGCTTGCCGCACTTGCTATTCCAAAACGGCCACCCACGTAGGTATTGACAAGGCTCGACGTTGCTTAACGTTGATGCTCGTGTGAGAACCTCCAGCTTGGAAGTAAAGGGAAGTAAGCAATGTATAAAGGGACGTTAGAAGTGCTGATATTCCTAAGAGTATATTTTGAAAATCTAGCAAATATAACAAATATTATAGCTTTATAGACATGCAACATTTGAATTAAACGATTGCTAACGTATTTCCACTTATTAGAGAATTTTAATTAAGACAAATTCGTTAATACTATTTTACGACATACGCAAATCTGCCAAAGAAAAAAGCACATACTAAAGGGGATTAAAGTAAACAGATTTGATTGGTGGACCACTGCTATCAGTACCAGTAAATATATATATATATATGTGTGTGTGTGTGTGTGTGTGTGTGTGTGTGTGTGTGTGTGTATTTTAGAATACTACATCAAAAACATGTCAAAATCGCTAAACAATTGCAGTTGTGGTTCGATGCATAACAATGCATCTCATCAGGCGATTGTAAATTACCGGCGAGTGAATGATTTATCATGATTTAAAAATCATGATTTAAAAGCAAAATACCTCTTTTTTCGGAAAAAGAAAAAGGATCGTTATAAGGTTTGTGGGCTATTCTCTGATCAACCAGTCAAATATGACCTACGTTAAATTTAAACTAAGCGAAGAAGCAAAAATTAAAAAGGCTCATGATCCGTAGATTGGCAGCTAACGACAGCCAGACATAAACTAGCGCGGATGTAAATGGATACATAATTTATACAAACTAGACAATGCCGTTTTCTAAGAAATAAAAATGGATGGAGCGGTAATTTGACAAAATGCTAAACAAGTTATATGCTTTGTGAATTTCCTACATAATTATTTTTATAGTTGATAAATAAATAGATTCTTTAAGAAACTATCTATATATATTCTCTAACTTTTACATGTCACAATGTGTTTGGACCAACAGACAAACCACAAATCTACACAAGGTATGTTAACGACATTTTTAAAATAAAAAATAAGAAACTTTCGAAAATCAAACTTCGCACAGAAATATATATACGAACTCATGGTTAATAACAAAATCTCATTCCTTGTGGGTGATAGAGAACAAAAATCTAAAGTAATTACCACCTAACCGTTAAAAAAAAACACCAGTAAGAACTGATGTCTTCTAAATTATGATAGCAGTACGCTGAAAGATATCAAATAGTAGTGACAAAAACTTCTTAAATAATAGGAGTAGGTAGGCTTTCCTACCGCCCGGTCCACACTCCTCCCTATTCTCTTGGACATGAGTAGAGGCTTACGCCTTGTTTCTTGTTTAGGAAGGGGTTTCCGGTACTCTCTCTCTCTCTCTCTCTCTCTCTCTCTCTCTCTCTCTCTGGCCTCTGTATCTCCAGTTGCATTGATCTATCCACTACTCTTCTCATCCTTTCTTCTATCACTCCTATCTGATCTTGCTCCAAATTTTCTGTAACCCCTTACGTCCTAGTGGCTTTCCGTCTTGCTTGGGGTGAAACGCTTAAAAAAAAATAGAACACACCTAAATTCTTCTTACCAGAGAATATTTCTGAGGTGAACTAAAACACATAAATCAAACATTAGTCAACAATAATTTCTCCAGCTACATCATCAATAAAAGAAATGCAACTGTTATTTAAACAGCACAAAATCAATGCACCCTCAAGTGTCATAAAAATGTATCTAGCCGCCCAAAATTTACAAGTCCCGTTATCGAAAACATATCACTGCGAGAGAGGTCCTTTACATAAAACATCTGGGACCTAGTACAAATCTCACCTTACTCATCAGCGGAAACTGTCAGATGAAACTTCTTTAAAATAGAAAAGAGCCAACTCGAATTCCAGCCACGAGGAACAAATGCGAGATTCGGAATAAATGCAAATGTTATTTAAACAGCAGAAAACCACACCTTAAACAGAAAAACATGAAAACAAATTAACAATTAAAAACAAACTCCCTTGAAAATAGTTAAAGCGCTCCCCTTCTTCAAATTTCGAATCCTGCCGTAGAGCAGATATTTTTATTTAATAAGATTTCTCAAAGATATAGGCCAATGGAGGAAAATAAAGATATATATTGTTTAATAAAACATGGAGCGTCTACTCAAATACGAGTATCCACTAAAAAACATTTAAAGTGATAAAAAATGTATCGGATTAATAAAAAAATCCATATATATATATATATATATATATATATATATATATATATATATATATAACCATTTAAACACTTTTTAGTGGATACTGTATTTAAGTAGAAGCGCAGAGTTTTATCTAACTTTTTAGTGTTGATAAGCTCTTGCGGAGCGAAATGGCCATACAGTTGGTGTCTTTTTGAATTTCATTTATTTGTAATATATATATATATATATATATATATATATATATATATATATATAAGCAATTTTTGAGTATCGCCATTTATGATTATTTTTTGCATGTTTATTGTTTTTCTCCAACGAATATTCCTGACAAAGTGTTGGACAAAAAGGTTTCCTTTAAAAGCAAATGAATTCGCTCCGTCATTTTTAAAACAAAACTTTCATACACACACGCGCGCGTGCTGTGTGTGTGTGTGTGTGTGTGTGTGTGTGTGTGTGTGTGTGTGTGTGTGTGTGTGTGTGTGTGTGTTTTGAGCAACGATTACGTTTATATACAACTTTTATGAAAGACAACTGACAAGGTACAGCGATTAAGCTTTTTATTCAATTTATCTTGCGGACTTATAAAGTTTTATTTATGTCCAGAAAAGAAAACACTTACGAACACAAAAAATTTGAATAAAAAGTTTCCCATTGCCTAATATATATATATATATATATATATATATATATATATACGTATGCACTGTTTGCATAATTTTAGACGTCACACAAATTGATTTGCCAGTTTATATATCTGCATGTGTGAGTGAGGTGAAATTCCATGCCACTTACATATGTGTATAAAGAAAAATTACAGGCCATTTTTTATTTATTTATTTTTTTATGATGCGGTCACAGCTTCATGCCAATAAATTTTTCATCATGTCCCAAGAGGAACTCAACCCTTCCTCTTTGAAAATTTAAATTATTGCCCAGCGGACCGTCCTGAGTTTCGGCTAGCGAAACTTTGAAGCAACACCGTTTCCATTTATTTTTTTCCTTCTTTTATCACTTTTATGTGTGTTGAGGCGGTGGGGGGGTAAGGTTTGGCAAAATCTAACCATGACTTTATTTCTTCTATTAAGAAGAAAGAAAATCATGGTTAGCTTGGAGGGGGATGAAGAAGCCGGATGCCGAGGTCATGTTACCCATTTCGCGAATAAATTTGAAGAAGTGGCGGGCGAATTCCCAGGTGTACGCTGACTAGTTAGAAAAAAGCATAAATGATTAGAATTGTTACGAATGATCAAGAGAAAAAGACATTTTCAAACTGCATGCATAAGCGTTATTTTTCTGTAATTTTTATCCAACATCTTTCCCATTACCTAATAGATATATATATATATATATATATATATATATATATATATATATATATATATATATATATAGTATATATGTGTGTGTGTGTGTGTGTGTGTGTGTGTGTGTGTGTGTGTGTGTGTGTGTTTATAAATGTAAAAGACAATAGAAAAACCGTAATAGTTGCCGACGCGTTTCGTCCTATGTGGACTTTTCAAGACGAAACGAAATGAATTTATTAAACAAAATAACAAAACAAAATGTCCTTACCAAATGGAAGAATTTAGTGAACGCTATTTCCATACGGTTAACTGAAATTACGTCAATTACTGTCACGTGTGGAGATATTGTTTTTATTGCTGTGTTTACGGATTCAACCATTTTCTTTTGATTTCTTCATACTGTTCTCTACGTTTGTTTGGGAGAGAAGTAATTCTGTTAAGTAAGGTGAAAAAACGTTCTCTAATTTCTTCCAGTTGCTAAGGACATTTTGTTTTGTTATTATTAGTTACTTTGTTTAATAAATTCATTTTCATTTTTGCCTTGAAAAAGTCCACATCGGACGAAACAAGTCGGCAACTATTACAGTTTTCCTATTGTCTTTTACATTTATAAATATTCTCTTTTTCTACAGGTTAGCTCTGAGAAATGTTTCATATTCATATATATATATATATATATATATATATATATATATATATATATAAATATATTAAAGACATTTTATGTTTAACGTTCTTTTTTATAGATACAAGTATTTAAGTAATGTATCTATAAAAAAAGAACGTTAAACATAAAAATGTCTTTTAATAAATAAATTGTCGGACTTTGTCCATTTCTTAATATATATATATATATATATATATATATATATATATATATATATATTTTTAGCAATTAATTTTTGAAAAAAAATTATTATTAGCAACGAAGTTTTGAAGAAAAATTATCAGTAATAGATTTTTGAAAAAAAATCACCAGCAATACATTTTTTGAAAAATATTGCCAGCAATACATTTCTGAAAAAAATATCTGGTCGGCATTAAATAACCTGTTGAGGTTGATATGCCGTAAAACAAACTAAACCAAACCAAACTATAGATTCCAGTGTCCACGGAATTGCGACAGAACAGATATTTTGACAAAGTATTGAAAAATATATGTGGAATGTGTATGTGGAACTACTTATCCAAGCGTTGAAAACAATATATTTCGCTTCTTCACTCATAAGTTTTGTTTAAGTCATTAGTTTGATAAAAATTTATAAAGGGATGGCAGTTAAAAATGCAGACTTTCTTTATTTTGTATGTGTTCAGAAAACACATGATATGATGGACATGTGGCAGGAATGTAGGGAAATGTCTCTTTTTTATTCTTTTGTTCCCTCTATATCTATTTCACTCTCTATATCTCTTTCTCTGCTTCTCTCTATCTCTCTCGATCGCACACATACGTCATCCAGGATATGACGATAAACTACATCCGGTAGCATAGACTCTGATCGGAATGTTTCGGGGAGCGTGGAACCACCTCTTGCTGTTACTCCCAGGTCTACCCTCACCGTGATCGCCAACGCCCACAAAGAAGAAGAAGAAGAAGAAGAAGAAGAAGAAGAAGAAGAAGAAGAAGAAGACAATGTCTGCACAGATAAAGAAAAGACTTAAAGTAACAGAATTGTGTTTCTACAGAAGGATGCTAAGAATACCATGGGTCGAACGAAGTTTTAGAGAAAATGAAATCAAAAAGGACACTTCTACTTGACATCAAGACGAGACTATTGAAGGTCTAGGGTACATAGTGGGGAAAGAGGGTTTGGAAAATGTAAATGTAAACAGATTGAATGCAAGAGAAACAGAGAGAAACTTACTGAGAGTTACAAAGAAGAGGAAATTATAGCCGACAACGTCCTGTGGAGATACGGTATAGAAGAAGAAGAAGAAGAAGAAGAAGAAGAAGAAGAAGAAGGGGGAGGAGGAGGAGGAAGGAGGAGAATAATAATAATTATTATTGTTATTATTATTTTTTTTCTAACGATTTCACCCCAAGCAAGGCGGGGGGGGGCACTAGTGAGTGGACGTGAAAGAGAAGACTGAGAATAAGGAGGATTGAGGAAAGTACAACAGATGAACGGGATTCAAGAAGACAGAAGATTGCGATTGGTGTTGCATTTAAATTTTTTTAAGATTTTTTTAAGATTATAGTTATCAAGGAAGCAAATAAACGGAAGGGAATTCTACAAGTGGGAAGTGCGAGAAAAGAAACTGTTGGTGTAAAAGTGACGGTTGCATTTTGCTATATCAGCAATAAAAGGGGGAACTCGATGATAATCTAGTAGCATGTTTAAATTCATATATTCGGGACACCAGAGAAAAGAATCGTCAGAGCAGTTACCATTAAAATATTTAAAATATTTACCAGTAAATAAAAGATAGCGTGAATCAAATATAATGCCAATAAGTAAACTTTGTTCTAATACAAAATGATGTGAGCTAACCAAACTATGTACTTGTATCGCTCGTAGTCTTTGCATTCGATGTCACACTAGAGTATCAGCGGAATCAAATCTGTCAAATTGTTGACCTGGAAGGTGACCTCACAGTCACCAGGTACAGATTCAGGTGTCAATAGATATCAGTGGCTGCCCTCGACATGTAATCAGGTGGCTGGCCCAGCTTCGCTTAGGATGTGCACACGTGGCATAAACGACTGGCAAGAAGATATATAAGCATCTCCACGCAAGACGAAAATGACAGAGATTCTTTCACGTCCTCGCGAGAAGATGATCCACGTCCGGAGAAAGCACCTAAAGCTAGACACTCTTACTCCGATATTAATTGACGAAGACTGTAAAGGTTTGAATTTTATCATTAATGAGTATAAGGATACTAATCAGAAGTTAACCTTTTTAAGTTTCAAATTCCGTTTTGGCACTACAGTGTACGGCAATTAATAAGCGATTCAGGTTTTAGATGTAATTTCTTGCCTGTGTTAAATACTCGCTTTAATGAACTTAAAGAAAAACTAGCACTAAAGAAAATAGAAATATGAAGGCCAAAAAGGAAAGAAGAAAAGAGCGGAAAGAAAATGCATCTTCATTGAATGCAGTTGGATGCAAGCATCTGCGCAAGTCGAATGCAGTTAACCACACTATTTACTAGTATCGCTCAAAAAGCTAGCATCGTAGTCTTTGCATTCGATGTCACATTAGAGTATCAGCGGAGTCAAATCTATCAAAATGTTGACCTGGAAGTTGACCTCACAGTCATTAGATACAGATTCAGGTGTCAATAGATATCAGTGGCTGCCCTCGACATGTAATCGGGTGGCTGGCCGAGCTTCGCTTAGGATGTGCACACGTGGCATAAACGAGTGGCAGGAAGATATATAATCGTCTCCACGCAAGAGGAAAATTACAGAGAGTCTCTCACGTCCTCGTGAGAAGATGATCCACGTCCGAAGAAAGCCCCTAAAGCTAAACACTCTTACCTCGATATTAATTGATGAAGACTGAAGGAGAATAAACATTAATTTTACGTAGTCTCCCGTTGTTATTAGTCCTTAAAATGGTTAGTATACACATTCTTGAGAAATAGAAAATAAGCAGTTTCCTGTTGCTTCCACCACGGTTTTGAATTCAGGGCGATGTTTCTTCTAGAATGGTTGCCAACCAAGGCTAGAGAATCCAGTCTACTCTGACATTTAACCTTAAGATTGACACGAGAAGAAGCAGATTGATGCCTTTCTTAATATCATTAGCATTATTGCAAACGCAACTAAGCTGCTGTTTGAATTCGACTCGACTCTTTCATTTTCCGTGACAATAGCTGTTAGACTACCCACGAACGGTATTTGCTTTTTAAAACAACCAATTTGAAAATTACTAGCACGGGATACATTACTCTTTTGTCTGAAATTAGTGTTTGGTATTTATCAGGTTTAGCCTTTGACAGTACAAAATGGAGAAATCATTAATCAAATTAACAATATTGAGTAGTTGTTGTCCATTGACGGTTTCCTTTTTCGCCGAATTTTACATGGTCAAATTCTGGACACCTATGTTGTTAACAGTAGCACTGGCACGAGTATGGCTATATTTATCTGACCAACATATCAATGATGTTTTCTGCATCGTTACATTTTTGGTCGGGACAAGTTAATTCCTTGAAGCGAAATTATATTTACTTCCAATGTTTTTGTTTTTTTTTTGTTTGTTTTTTTAATGCTGTTACCCGTTTGGAACTAACATTTGTTCATGGTACACTGAGCAGTTACACTTCAGTACACTAAATTGTTGAGTTTATCATTCGTTCTTGACACCGACAGAGTCTCTATGTTACGGTTGTCAATGACGGAGTTATAAATCTCGTGAGATCTCGGACGATGAGTAGCTCACGTAGAACTGTTAGGTCGTTCAGTACACGTAGGATGTGGTGGATGCTTAGAAAACGTGCGACGTACAAGACTCTTAGAAAAAGTATGGCGTAGAAGACGGGTAGAAATGTAGGACATGTAGGACGCTTATAGAGTGTGGGGCGTGCAGGACGCTAAGAATATGTAAAACGCTTAGAATACGTATAACATATAGTAGGTGTTATATTCCGTGCTAATAGGAATATATACGGGAACAACACGGTGGATAAGTAAAGGTTTATTGTAAAAACCAGGACAATAAGAAAAAAAGTAACAGTTATGCACACGGTCGTCGCAAGTCAATCTAATAGTGAGTGTTAGTATTAGAACGTCGGTAGTTTTCGCGTAAGTCTGAGTCGTACTCAACAGATCTCAGCTCGTCAATATTTACGAGGAAACGAGGATAGACGCGACATAAGGCCGAGTTTAACATGGGTCATTCGAGCCCGTAGGTTCGGCCAAAATTTCCTCGTAGAACCAGCATAAACGGGTTCGGGTCTGTCTACCTCCCCGGATGAGACTCTACCTTTCAGTATAGCCGTGTCTGGATTCCTCTATGCCCGAAGGCAGAGAGTTCGTCAGAGCAGCTGGAATAGATTCCAGCTCTTCTTCTGTAGTCCGTTGCCTTACGGATTATAAGTAGTTGCTACTAATAGTGTAGTCACTCGTGGGGATGACAGGTTATTCCATTACACCAATAGGCTTAGGAAAAGAAGGACGTCGAGGAAAGTTAGAACTCGTATGATGTAGGCTAAGCTTAGAAAACCTAAGATGTAAAAGACGTCTAAAATACATAGAAGACGTTGAAACGCAGAGAATATTTAGAAGACGTTGAAATGCAAAGGACATTTTGAACACGTGACAGATGGCGCTTGGAGCACATGAGAAGTAGAGGACGCATGGAACACCAGTGACACCTGTTTTACTCTAGTTCTGCCATTTTTATACAGATGAGAATAGGTGAAGCTGAGAGAATTATGGTAGTAGTAGTAGTAGTAGTAGTTGTAGTAGTAGTTGTTGTAGTAGTAGTAATAGTAACAGTAGTAGTAGAAAGGCGGTTATCAAACAATGCAATAGTGGAAGAGGAATTGAACAAAAATAGTGTAATGCCAATGGCAATTGTAATATTAGCTGTTTCCTTATAAGTAAACATTTGACATTAAATTACCGAGCAGCCAGTGTTACTTTCGATTGAAAGCTAAAAATGATTCACTTAAAACAATTTTTCATGAGAACAGATGTCTCAAGTTCAATAACTTTTATAGCTGTTTTCAGCATTGTTGGAGACTTCCTAACTTTTTATTTGAAGCACCATGGAATTTCAAAAATGTTATTATTTTCTCTTTGAGTTACATGGGATATCAGGGGTAATGTTAATAAGGAAACATTCGTGCATTTTTTTTTACGGGAAAACTTGACTCTCTCCAGTACTGATTTCCTTGTCCTTTGTTTGAGGCAGTGTTTAAAGTCAACATATATTCGCTCTCCGAGTTACATGTAATATCCATTTTAGTTGTTGTTGCTTTTGAAGGCCTTCAAGAAATTTGGTTTCTGTTATTTGGTAAATTCATTGTGATTCTGAAGTTCTAATCCACACGGTTTCGAGAAGGATGTTAAAACCATTTTAAGAATCGATCATAGAAAGCGTTTGTCTACAGATGACAGTTTAGATATTTCAGAACGTGTTTGGAGCCATGCATTGGCATCCACATGAAAGTCTCGATCTGACGAGGCGATTTAAGAATTTGACTCGAGTTTTCAGTTTTTTAATGTTTTAGTTTTATAGCAATTTGCAGTGTTGAGCGAAAAAAAACATCGAGGGCCGATTTTTCTATGCTTAATTTCCATAACACCTATACTAAATATGTTATAATTTATCCCTACACGAAGGTATTTGAAGTGTTAGGCAACGGAAGCATAAAACAACTGAACTCAGAACAATTGTCAATAGCTTGGATAAAATTGCTTCTTCAGTTGATGTCCCAAATTCGACGGGGTGAAAATTCACACTGTTACACAAAATATCCTCTAAGCGAGTCTCATGAATTTGAAAATATATTCGAATTTACATTCCCTAATCAGAGTGAACTAGCGTTAAAATAACTGGGGTTGTTCTGGTGACTGCATTTTAAATAATTTCCATTAGGTGACTTATGTTTCGTATATTTTCCTGGCATATTACAATGACCTCCAACTAGTCCTCAAATAAAACCATCAAGTTGGTTGAGATCTGGGCAACCCGGTCAGATCATGGCGACCTACCAACCAATTTGAAAATTACTAGCACGGGATACATTTCTCTTTTGTCTGCAATTAGTGTTTGGTATTTATCAGGTTTAGCCTTTGACAGTACAAAATGGAGAAATTCAGAAGGAATACTGTCATGTGCCAAACTTCTACTGGAAAGGGTCTTCCTGCCTTAAAAATCAGCAATCGAAAACCTTCATATTTTTCTTCCTCGCTATTTTACTTGCTCATTTGACAATTTACTACGCCTCTTTATCCTTACTTTGCCATCTTTTCACTCGTTGTTCATTCTGCTTCTTTTGTCTTCATGGTGCTAAATTCTTTGTGAGTCTAAGAAATGCCAACACTTTCTTGTCTCATATTTGTTCCCATTTTTCTTAAGACTTCTCCGTTGTTCTCATGTTCTATCGATGGTATTCTCAGCGTACTTTGGTAGAACCACTCTTTCAAGTTTTTTTTTCATCTAAGAAGAGATTATTCAGCATTCACTGCCGTATAGGAGATTACATATCAATTACTTATCTCAATACATCGCTTAGCATCTGGAAGACATCTTTCGCAATTTCTGTACACTTCGAATTTGTCTCCCATATTCCGTCGTATACTAGACTACTCAAATATTTATATATCTGCAACTGCTTGATTCTGACATCCCTAATGCGTAGCTTACATCTTGTGTTGTCTCTTTTGCTGACGACCATTCATTCTCTCTTCTTACAAATAACAATAAGCCTGTCTTTCCGCTGCTACAGTTCTCAGATCTTTCAGTTTTATTTCCTAGTCTGTCATCAACACTGTCATAAAATGTAACCTCCTTTTCAAAAACGTTTCTTCTAAAATATTTATTGTACAATATAATCAAACGGGTTTTATGAGCTTTTGCAGAGATTGTAAAGGTTTGAATTTTATCATTAATGAGTATAAGGATACTAATTAGAAGTTAACCTTTTTAAGTTTCAAATTTCGTTTTGGCACTTCAGTGTACGGTAATTAATAAGCGATTCAGGTTTCAGATGTAATTTCTTGCCTGCGTTAAATACTCGCTTTAATGAACTTAAAGAAAAACTAGCACTAAAGAAAACAGAAATATGAAGGCCAGAAAGGAAGAAAAAAGCGGAAAGAAAATGCATCTTCATTGAATGCAGTTGGATGCAAGCATCTGCACAAGTCGAATGCAATAGAAACTCTGAGGCTGCATGCTATATTAAGAGTTCACATATGCAGTAAGATAACCGAATCAAGAGTTTTGCATACAGTAAGACAGCTGCACAAATGCACACTGGAAAAGAGGTGAGGATTTTATCTGTAAAAGACTTTCTTTCGAAGGACAATGTTGCGAAAATAAAGCAATGCGTTTTTTTTTTCTCGAAGTCGAAGGAAGTCAACAGGAAATTATAACCCGTCTAATTTTTATTGAACTGTAATGAACTGGT